TCACAGGCTCACGCACTCATGAACATTTTTAAATTGTCTCAAGACTGTAACATCTCCGTCTGCTAGTCACCTGAAGGCCTCCGACTACTACCTTAGCACAGCTGCCAGCCACAGTGATGTGCATTTCTCACAAAAGGCAAATCCACTTTTGATGGCCACAGACGGGAGACTGGCATGGCCCTGGAAGGGTTTTCTACAGACTCTTGAATTCCCCAACTACTGAAAATCACATACACATACAAATCAGGAGATTTCCCCCACAAAGTTTAAGCTAATCTTTTGTTGGTGGAAAAAGGAACAACCATCTAATACGATGAAAAACATCTGTCTATAACTTTGAGTGCAATTTGAAAACATTGAGCAAGAGTTTTTGTGGGGGTGGGGGGAATGGGCTGTTTTTGTTGTTTCTTGGATTTATCTGCTGAGACAGAATCTTGCTATGGAGCCCTGGCTGGCCTTGGACTTGCCACAAAGCCCAGATTGGCCTTGAATTCACAATCCTTTCGCCACAGCCTCCCAAACAGTAGGACTACAGGTGTGCACCACATCTGGCCCTGATACCAAACTATCTTTAGAACACAGGGCTTGGGCTTTAACTAATAACTAGCCAGACAAAAAGCTAAAGCACAAACGGACATTTCAGTTATTCACTGAAAGGGCCTTAGCCAGACATTACCAGGTAAGATACTGGAATTTTAACCCACAGCTCTAATATGCTCATTCCCAAACTGCAAAAAGATACCCATATATTAACATCACCAAAAAATGAGTAAAAGTAATAACATGATAATCACACAAAGTGTTTACAAACTCTTTTATTGTCCATTACAGTATAAATTGAATATTTAATTTTTTAAAGAAATCTCTTAATGGGGGCTGGAAAGATAGCCTAGCGATTAAGAGCACTGGCTGCTCTTGCAGAGGACCTTGGCTCAATTCCTAGCACCCACATGGCAGCTAACAACTGTCCATAACTCCAGTTCCAGGAGATCTGACCCTCCCTCCTGACCTCCACAGGCACGGCACAATACAGGTGCACTTACATGCAGACAATACACTGATACACATAAAAAAAATAAATATTGAAAAAAAAAAAAAATCTCCGGGCTGGAGAGATGGCTCAGCGGTTAAGAACACTGGTTGTTCTTGTAAAAGACCCAGGTTCGAATCCCAGCACCCACATGGCAGCTAA